TGGCCCCCGGCGGTGGCCGCGCCCCTGCCGCACCCCCCCGGAGACAGGACCGCCGCCATCACCGGCCACGGATGGGCTGGGCTAGAGATCACCTCGGCCCCGCCTCCCCCAACCCCCGCTTCAGGCTCGGCGCCACCTGCAGGCCCGGAGATGGCAGCGCAGGCGCCGAATCGCTTCTTCGCTGGTGTCGGGGGACTCGCGATCCTTTTTTCCACGGGCGGCGTCTGGCCTGGGCGGCAGCGCCTGCTCCTTCAGAGGACGGGCGTGAAAAGCGTGATTTAGAGCCTGCGCTGCAAATGCATGCCTGTACTCAGTCATATCGCGGTTTCATTACGAATGACAGCCGTTTTCTTAGAGGTGTCCGTTATCTGGGGGTTTGCTCAGTGAAGTCAGCAAATACTGTATGTCGAGTCAATATTCAAAAAGACATTTGTGGAGTCCTTGGGGTTCTCTGAGCTTGGTTGTTTTCTTGCAGACATTTTATTACCCGGCTAGGTAACATCTTCAGTACATCTAATTGAAGAAGCCTGATACAGTTCAACCGTGCGCTACATATATTCTGTCTATTGGCAACAGACATTTATTCCTTCTAGGTAACCTGTGGCCTCCCAGATGTTTGCTGAACAACCAGCAGTTGGCGCGTACAGTATACAGTATGTACGTGGAGGTAAGACGTTGAACTGGAACTGTGAGGCTCGTTCATGCCCACGTTTGGCCATGGAAGCTAACAGAGCTAGACGCTTTTGCAGTTACGAGATCTCGGTTGCAAATCTTTTGAAGCCTTAATCGCTCAGCCCAACCTACCTTACAGAATGGTTGGGAGGAAACCCAGAGCAGTGATCCTGGAAGAAAGGCAAGATACCAGTCTAACAAATCAATGTAAAGCGTTGCATAAAACAGGGCTACCACATCCAAATGACTGCAAGATGATAGCAGATACAGAAACGTTTTTCTGCCATCTAGTGGTTGCCTAGATTTTTAAAGTCCAAATAAGAGATATAAAACCCTAAACTGGAGCCAGCTGCTTATAGGATCTCCTACTCCCATATGGCCTGCCCCACTTTCTTAGATCACTGATGGGGCATTTGTTATGGACAGTTTGGACATCAGCCAATTTGGCTTTCTCCGGCAGGGCTCTTACAGATTAAATTGCCACAGGAACAGAAGTGGGCCCCTTCTCACTGGTAATTCAAAATGAGAGGATGGGATCAAAATATTTATTTGCACGGACTTTCCAGTTGTATTGTTTTGCTTTTATGTTTTATATCAATTGGGATGCAATATTTTTAATGACTTGTTTTACTGTACCCTATAAGCCTCCCAATTTCCAAATACATAAAACACCTTTGAGTATCCTTCCCATTGGACATGCTTGATGGCCCTGGATGTTGTTCAGAAGTATCTGAAAGAAAATGGGTTCACAACCATTTTTCTATGTAGTGTAGGGTCAAGCAATTGCACACACACATCCCTTTTCCCTCTTGGGGAAGGCCCAAAATAATTGAGAGTGCTACACTTGCAGGCACTTTACTGGGATACTTAGAAGCAGGACTCTGGCCATACTTGAGGAGATGGGACAGGATAAAGAGCCCCATTGCCAAGATGGGTCAGGCACACAGATTAAAGGTTCCTTAGCCTGGTCTAATCAAACACTAGATTCTCATTATATTTTAAAGTTATGTGGCACAGTTACTGCCCCATATCACAACTCTAGGATCAGTCTAACATTCCTGGTCTTAATTGATTATATATATTGTGTGTATAAATATATGATCGAAGTGTAAATTGAACAGGGAAGGAGAATATATTGAAAGATACTTACTGAGTTTTTAAAATTTCTATCCCATCTTTTGTTCAGAAGCTCAAGGAGGCATACACAGATCTCTCTTCTCCCCCTTTTCCCCATGACAATGTCCCTTTAAGGGACACTGGACTGAGAGAGAATGAGCTATGAGCTGAGAATAGACTTGAATCAATCATACAAAAGAGAAAGAATAGAAATGTTAATGTGGAAATAAAATCAACATTCAGCAATGAATGGATTTATTATGGTCAAAAGCTAACAGCTTAAGATAGCC